CAGAGTAGGCCTGTGGTTGGAGTCAGTGTGACAAAGAGCCTTGATCTGGACCAAATATGGAGATGAATGCCCCATGCACTTTTATGTTAGGCTCACTTACAGTGTCCTGCACATAGCCCACAGCTGTGAGATAAACTAGCTATGATAATGACCAGCTTGCATATGGGCAAGTGAAGGCTCAGGACATTTAGGCAATGCTCTGGAGAACATACAAAGACCAGGGAGCCCGATGAGTTTCTTGTTTCTTCACCTCCAGCCCCAGACACGTTCCCACACACCCAGCACCATCCAATGAACAGATCCATTTGCTTAAACATTAATGTGTTTTATTTCTTAAAACAGAAGCTCTAAATTAGGGAAGTCTTGATGAATGAGGTTTGATTGTGAATAAGATAAAAATGTGAGTGAAGGAGCCGAGGTGCTTTACCTGCACCTGCTGGTACCCATGGTAAGATACACAAGTGGCTCGGCTCTCCTAGCTAAGTGTGGGACTCATTTCTCTCTTTCTTCAGAGGGAGCAGAGTTTAATAGAAGTGTCGGCTGGACCCTCGGATCAGCAGAGCTGTTTGATCTCCCATAATCCTTGTCATTATCCTTGCCATTGTGTGCTATCTGCAAACTCACTGCAGAACACAGTGCAGCACAGCGCTGGAGGTCAAGGAGGAGAAGAGGTCAACGCTACTGTGGTGACTCAGGTAAACCTTGTGGTGCATTAGCAAGGCTCTGTCCTCTGCCACTTGGGGGCATCTACTGCATTAAAGACTCCCATTCTTGGGTACAAGTGGACTCATGGTGTGTGGTGTGAATGAATGGTGGAACAACAGCGACTTCCAGGACCCCACTTCTCTGCAGTTGCAATCAACCTGAAGCATTGAGCATGAAAGCCACCCCCCAATTCTGAGCCCCAGCCCCTTTCAGGCTTTCCCTCCCCCTTCTCCACCATTAACATACACCGACTCCTAAGGCTGACTTCAAACACAATTTCACATTTCCTTCCCAAATGTACCACTGCAGTAACAGCAAACACACAGAAACTTGATGAACAGTAAGAACACAATGAAAATTCCACAAATTCTTATTTGCTACATAAGAGAGAGGTTCTGAGCTGGTTGCCAAGAAATCTATAAGCTTCACACCCAGAAGGCTGAGTACCCCGGGAGGATGGAGACTCTAGGACATGGCCCTCAGACCATCCTCTTGGAAAAAAGGCTGTATTAGGAGCCAACTACATTCCACTTTCACTGATACCAATTCCCTGCAAACAGCCAGGGGCTCATAACTTTTGGGACTAGCACCAACTGACAAATAGCTATTTCTGTAGAATCCCATTTGATTTTATTTCACCCTTGGCACTGTGGGCTAGAGCCAGTGAGGAGGGGGCACTGGAAAACAGATTTAATTAGCAAGATGAGCCTAGTGCCTGGTAGGATGACTTCTCAGAACACAGAGAACAGCCATGGTCACAGGTTTCCTCTAAGGTAGGAAGAAATCGAAGACCAAGGAAAATGAAAGGCTGTGGCAGCAAGGTTGGATCAGAAGTTGAAGCCCAACTACAGGATCTTTACCCTTGTAGCCAGTCTCCAAGATGGCCCCCAATGACCCCTGCTTCCTGGTATTCACAGGAGGTAGTTTTCCCCCACACTGAATAGGGATGACCTGTGTAACCAATAGGACATTGCAGAAATGATGGAGTTTGACTTCCAAGGCTAGGTCATAAAAGACACCACAGCTTCTGCCTTGCACTCTCTTGGATCATTTGCTTTGAGGGAAGCCAGCTGCCATGTCATGAGGACACTTCAGCAGCACTATGGAGAGGTCCATGTGGCAAGGACCTGAGGCCTCCTGCCAATGGCCAGCATCACCATGCCAGCCACATGAGTGAGCCACCTTGAAGAACATCCTCCAGCCTTCAGATGATCACAGCTCCAGCCAGCATCTTGACTGCAACCTCATGAGGGACCCTGAGCCAGAACCACCCAACTAAGCTGCTTTCAAATTCCTGACCCAAAGAAACTGTGTGAGATAGTAAATATTTATTGTTGTCTTATGTCACCAGCTTTGGGTGTAATGTATTATGCAGCAAATAGATCACGAATGCACTCCACCAGGTGTATCATCATGTCTGTTTCCACAGGAAACTGATTTTGTCCCTGGTAGGAAGCCTTGTCAGAGTGTCTTAAATGGATGGTCTTCTCCTCTCTAGAATATCAGTACCTCCTGATATCAATATCCCATGCTGGATATCCAGAGGCAGAAAGATGCCTTTCTGCTGCTCTTCTTCTATAGCATCTTCACCCTCTGTGGTGAAGTAAACACACACATACACATGCATATACACACATGCACACACACACAGCTTTCTTTCAAACCTGAAAAATCACTCAAGTGCTAGGAGTACGAACTTTTTTCCAGGAAGGACCAGATGCTCTGGATGTTTTAAGCAACATTTTTTCATGCTGTCTCTGCATGGACAGATGGCAGGGGGCAGGGTGGGGGGCACAGCTGACTACTGAGAATTGATAATGTGTCTGTTCTCCTTTGCTAGTCATAAAATTCTGAGCTGGGTGAACGCCAGCAGGAGAGGAAAGCCTCGGCCACAAGTCTGTGCATTCCCGCATTTGTTGAAATATTTCAGAGTGGAATTTTCTGCCTTTACTCTCTTTTCCCATCCTGTTTATCACCCTGGGTAAGGAGGAGGGGCTTTGTTAAGACAAAAACATGAGACTTTGTGAGCATAACAGCATGTCCGAATTACAGTAGAGGCAGTCAATATATTGTGAGAGAAATACTTCCTTGCCATGTAGAGGTTCTGCTATGAAGAACCTGGAAGATGTGAGGCCTCCACTTAAGGTGTAGATTAAGTAACGGCAGCTCCTTCCTCTCCAGGATGGGGGCCAGGCATTCTTCTAGGCTAGAGTGGGCCCTGAACGCAGAGGCAAAGGCAAAGCATTCATAATGGGAAATAAAGGAGGGAAGAGAAGGGAAACCAGGGAGAGAAGGACCTCTCGATGCTCATCCAGAGTGGATCTGTATGGGCTGGAAGATGGCCAGGTGGGAAACAATGTATCTCCATCTTCTTAACTATGTTTTTTATTTCTGCCAGAGGACTCTACCTGTCTGTCCTTCCAAGGGTCAAGTCATATTCAAAGAGTTACAGGAGCAGTGAGATAGTCTCATCACGTGGAGAGTACGGTCATAGAGGTCCTTCTCTAGGGAGAGTTGGAGCTGATTGTAACCATGGTTTGGTGTGTGTGGGGCAGGTGTTCTCCCAATGTGTATCAGCAATGTGGAAGTCATAAGCCCCATCTCACTCTCTCCTGCCCCTGGATCTCCTCCAGGACCGGGTCTTTTCTCTGCTCGTCTTCATTGAAGCAACTTCCCTTGGTGAGATCATTCTGGCCTATGATTTCAGCCGCCACTCTGATGCATCCCAAATCTGGGTTTCCAGCCCTGGCCTCTCACCCTGATCCACCTCTGATTTCAGCTGTGCATAGACTTTCCTCCTCTGGTTGTCTGACCCTCACCTTATACTCAACATGTCCAACTTGGAATTCAACTCCACAAAGACTTCTTTTCTCCATGATCTTATTCCTGTCAGTAACAGCCAGTTGGGAACCTTGGAGTCATCTCAACTCTTCTCTTTCTTCAGGCCCTAAATCCATTCTGTCAGCAGGTCCTGAGGTCTTTCTCTTTAAACTGTACCTTCGCTATGGTCAATGACTTCCTGTGCTCATTGTCTCTACCCTTTTCAAATTCTCATCATGACAAGCCTGGAATTCTCTTTTCTTTCTTTGCTCACTTAATGCCCCATTTTTCAAGGTTTGAAGCAAGTGTCCCCATTTCCTAAAGCCTTATCTGATCCCTCAAGACCACATTTTTATCCTTTCTTGAACTATTATTCATTCTATTCAAAAAAATAGTTACTAAGGGTCTGCTGTGGACCATGTACGAAGTGCTGGGTGCTTCAACAGCAAAGTCCCTGCTTCAAGGAGAGTACGGTCTAGCAACCATCACACCAATTAATCATTTCTTTGTTTTCTCTCTCTTAATTGTGTTTCCTCAACCAAATTCTTAAATAGCCAGGACTGTGTTCTAAATATCTTTTGTAAAACCTACAGTGACTATTAGACCACAGGGCACATAACATGTTCTTACTAAGTACATGTTGGTTAATGCAAGATGGGTAGCAGAATAAGACTAGAAACACATGTCAACTGCAATCCTCATCTAGGTTAGAGAAATATCTTTGGTTAAGGAAAAAACACATCAAGAAATGAAAGAAACCATGCTGCGTTTGAATGATGTTTTACATATCTAATCAATAATTAAATTTAACTTGACAAATTATTTGACTCAAATTTTTAAAATAATTGATAACCATTCCCCAAATTCCATAATCATAAAATAATAGTCACATTTTAAGACTAAAAAACTAATGTAAAAATGATTTCTAGCATTTTAATAATTCCAATGTAGATATTTGGAATTTCCTGAGAGATTTCACAAGATAGCAGCAGGAGCAAATTGAGAAGCATCAAATACAAATTCTTATTTTCTGTCATATTAAAGGCAAGAATATTCATAGGGTTGAAATACACAAGGCAACTGTGCCATCCTCTCAGCAAGGATCTCCCGGAACCAGGATAGAACTGGGCTCAGATAATACCCATGTGGCCTCTCTAAGTGTCCCCAGGAAAAAGACTTTTGTGAATCAGAAGTGAAGGAATGTCATTTCTCCAAAATGTACAAATGTTTTTGATATAAGGAAAAAATAGGGAGATATTTCACTCCTCCAAGTCTTAAATGAGTATAATTTTGATTTTTTGTTCAGAGGACCCAGTATGGACCTCAGCTTAGACAAGCAATTCAAAGAATGTATGTCACACCAGCCCCAAATAGATCTTCATGTGCTGAACAGAAGCTCAATCACTAAGAGTCAAAAGTTAGTCCCAGACACATGTTTACTGTCAAATTTAATCTTAAAAAAAATTCTTACTCACCTGCCAGAATATGCTATCTATTGTGTTTCCAAGAAAACCATCACGACCTTCTGAAGACACCAATTTGGGGCCAAGAATTGTCATGAATTCATCAAAATCCACCTGGCCATCCCCTGGAAGGAGAAGATATAAATATGAATGCAAAAGTAGCTGAAATTGACCTACTGTACCCAATGAAATAAACTTCTCCATGCTTTTGTCCTTGGCATGATCTCAATCAATGAAGACTTGCTGGTAGCATTACTGAAAATTGTGCAATACTCTTAAAACACCAAAAGGACCACAAGAAACTGGCAATGATTAATACATCCAATACCACATATTCCTAATTATTTGGCAGTATTTCTATCTAAATGCCCAACTAGCACTTCCCACTTAAATGGCCACACCTCACACCTGCTCCACCTCCTCAAATTGCCCAACTGTACATGATAAAAATTGAAGCTTCATCCCCATCTCTTCCTTCATCCTTGTTACTCACACATCAATTTAGTTATCAAGTCTTATTTATTTCACATCTTAAATACCTGTGGCCACTGTATCTTCCTTGTTAATCCCATTGCTAGTCCCCTTTCCAAAGACCGTGGCAGGAAAATGCTTCCAAGAGTTAATTCCTAGTTATAATTATAGTGTTACTAGTAGAATGGCTTTCTGCCCTCACACTCACACCTCCATACTATCTTCCATACAGTTCTGAGTTTACTTCCCCAAAAGCATATCTGATCATGCTTTATAAACTTCAATGGCATCTTTGACTAAAAATAGGGAAACCACCTCAGAATAGCATTCAAGTCCCACTCTCTCTTTTGCCCCTTTTTGCCCCCAACTCTGCACAAAATGCAATCCTCTTTCAGAGCTCCATGCCTCTGTTACACACTGTTCCCTCCATCCAGAATGCCTTCCCCAACTTTTCTACCTGGTGAATGCCATCTCGTTCTCTAAAATGGAACTTAAATATCATGTTCTCTTTTTGTTTTTTTTCCTGACCCATCCTCATCTCACTAGACAGAGTTGGCCAAACTTTCTTCTGTCTGTCCTACTAACTTAATGTGCGTCTATTATAGAACTTAGCACCCTGTATCTCAGTCACTGCTTTGCATACCTGTTTTCCACCTGGATTGTGAGCTTTGCAAGGTCAGGGACCCAGTCTGAAACTACTTTGTATATTCAACACCACGGTAGGCACTCAGTATGTACTCGTAGAATAAATAACCAGGTCTCTTGCTTGTTTTTTCTTTGCTCAGTTCAGCAGCCATCGGATCTTTCATGCTAGAGCTGACACTGACCAAAAGGTGGACTTGAGCCAACTTAGACAAAAGCAGACCTTTGAGGCATTGCCTGAGCCTCACTGAGTCATCAATGTGGACTGAGTCATCAATGTGGCATTCTGCACCCTTAGGACTGCTCAAGAGGGCATCTCCACCAAGAGCTCACCACATCTTGGCTCCAGGCAGTGAAGACCACCCAGGTGTCTGCACACAAGTTTGCCAAAGTGCAGACACATCAATCCACTCCAAGAGTGCAACTGATACCGGCTCAACACAAGGCTGACATAAGGGAAGCCATATTGTAGAAAAGAAACCCTATTGTAACTTTGAATGACCTCTGACTAACTAACCCAGCTGGATGTGCACCCTCCAGGAGTTCTACGACCTCTGCTTGTGCATGTACCTCCCATCTGCAATAAGATGATAACTTTGTTCTTTTGAGTTCCTTAGGAACGTGATGACTCCTGGACAGAGAGTCTATCTGGTGTGGCACTCCCAGTCTGTAACACCAGAGGGTCAACTTTCCTAACCCCCGCCCCTATAACCCACTGGCCTATATAACTGCTTCAAGATTCTGTGCCTCCCTTAACATGATTCTTTAGGACAGTAGTCCCCCCATCTTCCAATTTGCTAGCTTATCACTTAATAAAATGCCCTTTCTCTGTCACCATCTTGCCTCTTGATGATTGGCTTTTGTCTCACGGCGAGCAGATAGTGCCCTTTGTATGGTGACACAAGTGCCTTCAAAGAGCCCCTGTTCAAAACCTATTTCAAAAAGCCAAGTAGATGTCATCATCAAGATGTCAATAATTCAGAAAAGATGTCCAGGAACAGGTCACAGTGTAGACAAAACTTCCTAGAGGATAAGGGGGACATGGCAAGTCAGTGGGAAAGGGAAAATTTAGCCACTGAATGGAGTGGGGCAGTCAGTGAACTACTGAGAGGAAAATGGTTTCTCTCTCATCATTCAACAAGATAAAGGGATCTAAAAGTTCACCCTCACTGGTCATCATAAGAATGCTAATTCAAGCAACAATGAGTTACCATCTTGTTTTTCAAATTAGCAAATACTTCTAAAAAGACTACTAGTCAATGCTGGCAAAGATATGGGGAAGAGATAGACTCTCTTATGCATTCCTGGTATATTCATTTGGGGTATTGACTGGTAGTACTTAAGATATTGTAACATGCTGGTTCCTTTTGACCTAATAGCTTCACTTTTTAAGAAAAAACAAAACAAGGAAATTATCTTAAATGCAGACCGAGTTGTATGCCCAAAGATAGTCATCTAGTATTTGTAAATGTGGAAAATTGGAAGCTGGAGGAAGAGGAGACCGGCCCAATCTTCCTGGCATTCATACTGAACTAGCTCCATGTGGCTCCAAGTCTCAGACAAGCACGCTTATTACACACATGCAGTAACCCTCTACTCACCCCAAATCACCCCACTAGTCCTAGCTGGGGCTGGATGGCCAAAAAGTCTCAGACTAAAATATGTATTCTCAATAGAGATAGTATCACCCCCAATGAGATGAAAAGTGATTCTTAGAGGACAAAAAAATCTTAGAGATTACCATGGTTTGTGGCCCTTCTAGGGACACAGTACATGAACGCACATGCAGTATATCTGTGCTATTAAAATTTCATGGGGGTAGGGCAACTAGGGAAACAAATATTTTAAAAGGCTCCTAGGGGAGGGGGATGGCTATTACCAAAAAAAAAAAAAAAAAAAAAAAAACGAAGAAGAAGGTTAAGAAACACTAGACAATAAGATGTCCCACATACTGTGGTTTGTCTCCCCCAGGCCCTCCCTCTGGAATGTTGGTCTATTAGCAGTGGGCATCTTCCCAACTGTCTGTCACCCACGGTGAAGTCAAATGGTTCACAAAGGCTTAGAAGCTCAAGGGCATGGATCATCTTTTAACGAAGACCTCATGAGACCTTAACTAAAATATGTCCACTAGGCTGGGTCTCTCAAGCTCCTGGCCATGGTGTAGTGGGCACCACTCTCTCTCACTTGGGAGCCTAATAGGGAGGTGGTTCATAGGACGTGCCAAGACACACGCTTCTCGGTGCCAGGAGAACTGGGGCTGTCTTTGAACAGTCCAACTTTCAGGTAGTAAGAGAGAGACCACCCACCTCTCCGAAACCTCCCCCCAGGGTGATGGGCATGATGGGGTGATGGGAGTATGGCAGTGTGGCACTGGTGCATTTCAAGGGTCTACATGGAACTCTGCTCAAAGTCATCAGGGAGTGCTCACAGGTGGTGCCCTTGGCTGAGAACACCAACCCAAAACTGACAAGCAGAAATGATGCTTCAGAACTCCAACCTGGCCTCGGTGCACAGAGCAGCTCATTCACTACTCAAACCCCTGGCCAGAGGGGAAGCACTGGGGGAGGGGTGCTCAGGATCCTCTGGGCAATGACAACTGCGGTGCAGGGGTCCAGGTCTATCTAGTTGGAGGAGAGGTCTATCTGGCTCACAGGAGGATTTGCTTCCACTATTTAGCAGAGAACATTTGGAACCTCAGATTTTTTATTGGTCAAAATATGATTCCCCCCTCCCCCCCCCCTTTTTTTTTTTTTTTTTTTTTTAACTAACACTGAGCAAAGGGAGATTCCTGCAGGCCCACAGTTGGAGAAATAATTCGGGAGGGCCCTCACCTCTCTCTATCTCTCTTAGGATTTTCTCAGCTCTGGCTCCTGAGTATGTGTGTACATAGCACATCTTCTGCAGACCTTCAGTAAATGAAGACTCTTCCTAACACACAGCTCCATACCAGTCCTACCAGTAGTACTACATTCTACTTGGATTTAGACTGAGGAAAAGCTCTCTTCAGCAGATCCTACTCTAACAGACAAATAGAACCAGGAACACCCCACAAGCTATCAACACTGCTCTCAGAGGTCTAGCCCTCCCCCTCCCTCCATCCATCCCAGGAGAACTGAGACAAACAGAATCTCAGAGAGAGGTTTGTCACTATGTTCCTTATACAAAAACCATTCCCAGGCCGAGGCAAGGTCTGGGAAGTCTGATGATCAAAATATCTAACATTTACTGAGCACTCACAACAGGGTGGCCATTGTTTAAAGAAGTTTCCATACACTAGTTCATTTAAATCTTCCAGCATCCCATTTTACGGACAAGGAAACTGAGACCCAGAGAGGCTCAGTAGGTTATAGAAGCTCACACGGGGAGCAGAGCTGGGATTCCAAGTCTGCCTGTGCTTTTGCTGCCTCTCAGGAGGCCGGGTCAGGGATGGGCTCTGTCTGGAACATTCTTTCCCCTGATCCCAGCCTTCCCTGGCAGGGGAGTGCTATGGCTATCGGGTACAGAGAGGCAGACAGAAATCTAAAGTTTTCTCTCCGGTCTAGGTGTTGGGTCTCAGATCAGCCGCTAGTGGTCTTTCTTAATCATTTAAAAGAGTAATAATCAGTAATAGGAAATCTTTACGTAACACTTGCTAGATGCCAGGCACTGAGCTCAGGGCTTCACATTTACGACCTTGTCTGATTCTACCCCGACACTATGAATAGGTTCTCCCCTTCCACATCTTACCCATGAGAAGACTTGGGCAAGAAGGGGTTAAAAGCAGCTAGGTCAAGGCCACTCAGCTAGTACAATGTGCCAGCATGCGGACTCGGCTTGGAACCCGACATTAACCTTCACATTGCACCATCTCCCCTCTGCGTCAATGACCCAGCATAAGTCCTGGCAGAGGTTTGTATCTCTCCTCAAAGTGTGAGAGTATAATATGTTTCCTATCTGGACATTCAGGAAGGAATTTAGTGGGAAATTGGGAGAGAAGCCCTCAAGGGGCTTTAATGCAAACGACCATTGCCTG